CCGATTTATTCATTATTTTGTTTTCCTTTCACTCCTTCCTTTTAATGATTCTAATGACAGTGGATTCGTCTTGACCTGAGAGCGCCCTCAAGCTTTTATGGTCCCGACCTTTTCTGCTTCGACCTTTTTCGTCTTGACCTTTTTCGTCTTGACCTTTTTCGTCTCGACCTTTCTCGTCTCGACCTTTTTCGTCTCGACCTTTTCTCCCCTATGTGTCTCCACATGTCTTGCTTTCTTGTCATCCTTGGAGCTATAAAATCGCACGTCCTGAGTAATTGGCCCTATACCAAATTACATCCCATATCTCGTTTGTAATGGCAGGAGTGAGTAATCACTAACCTAGTCTACGTAGGTGATTATTGACAAAGTTGTCGTTATAGGAAGTCGCCCGGCTGACAGTTGGCGGAGGCATGCAAGTCGACAGCAATGACACCGTTGAGATCAATGCCGAAGTTCTTCAGAGTATCATTACAACTATGGAGATGCTCACAAAAAAGCTGGACGCCCTTCAGCTTGCAGTAGATAAGAGCAGCCAAGCCGGCCCAGTAGCGCTCCTTACAGACCTGGGGGATGATGATGTGAAACCCTTCGATATGGATTCGGTAGACGAAAAACCCGTGAAAAGACGTCAAAGAGGTTCGAAGTCCCGTGTCGAGAAGCTTTTTCTGGTAGGTGCCCATCTCCCGATCACGGACATCGATCTAACTGCCTCCAGCAACATGTCCGAGCACATGCCCATCAAGCTCTCGGTATAAAGGACAAGCCAATGTCAACTTGGCCAACTGTATCCAACAGTACGTCTCAGAAATATACTCAAGGGGATCCGTCTATCCAAGGACCCACCAACGACATGTTCATCCTCGATTGGGGCACTCGTACTATGACGAATCCACTGTCATTAGAATCATTAAAAGGAAGGAGTGAAAGGAAAACAAAATAATGAATAAATCGGTTGGAACATGTGTATTTATTGGTTAAATGATTTAGCATACAGGAATTTCTATCATAGTATGCTTAAAACTAAGGAAGGCACAAGGTTTCTGTGCCCGAGGAGTTGTCAAAGATCAAAGATACACTTCGTTCAGTCGACTCCATACCATAGAGGGATGCATTGGGGGGGCAATCGATGTTCGGTTGCGGTTGCCAAGGAAAGGGCGGGCCATAGAACTGACCAGGGTAGTTGAGATGCGTCGGTAAGATTTGAGATGGTGCGGTCACAGGAGCGGAGAAAGGATCATGATTATGGAGTAGATTGAACCAAGGATAACCTGGCCAATATACTGGTCGAATGGGGGGATACTGAACGCCATGACAACCTGGTACGGGAGATACGAGAGGGAAATGATTTATCATGGATGGGTCTCCGATATGTCCAAGTACTGGATTATAATGCTGCAAATTTCGGTTAGATATGCCCTTGACCATGCCACGACTGTGTTCAAGCACTTACTGTCCATTGTGTCCCGTCGTATAGAGGGCCATTTACTTCGAAATGACGAATGTTCTGTCTTGCCATTCCATTATAGTCCTGAGAGATTCACTTAGACCAGGAAGTAAGCGTGGTGATGTGCTTACCGAGCTTTGGTATCCGTCAAGAGGTGGCCTGAAAACGCTATCCAGGAGCTGGTCGATTGAGTCGCCTGGATCATCATTCTAATTTTTTTGGGTAAGGTGTACTCTTGAATCAGCTGGAGTACTCACCGAGCCGTCCTTGTGGTCACGGGGCTCACTGGGAGTACTGTCCGAAATCATTGAGATGCCAGTTTGCTTCACGTTGTCCTAAGCTCTTCGTAAGACAATACCATGTACTCTCCAATCACTTACCCTCCACTCCTTATTCTCGTCAAGGCATTTGTGGGTACGATTTACAGTGGAAGGAGAGGCAGGTGCTACCTTTAGAGTGAGCTGTTGACGGTTCAGGTCAAATTTGTAGGTAATTACACTGTGATAGCTACCTTGTTCTCATTTGAGGAAGAATCAGAAATGAGATCTATGACAGCTGCAAGGGAAGGAGAGTTCTATGGCCGTCTCAGTGAAGAAATGGCACGCATAGATGTTGGACATACTGTAGATTCTTTTGCATCGACAGTATTTGAGAGAGGCAGCTCGAGAGGCGACAGTGCTCCGAATAGAGTCGAGTGCTGTAGCCACTTTGGTCAGTCTAGTCGGGAAAGCTATCGGTACTTACTGGATCATCCTCTTGATCTTGTTCAATATCCATGCATTCAGGACTCGATACACAGGACGCATGATCCACAGTATCCGTGATGGGGTCTTGAGGACTCGATACATAGGGCGCGTGATCCACAGTATCCGTGATGGGGCCTTGAGGACTCGATACAGAGGGCGCGTGATCCACAGTATCCGTGATGGGGTCTTGAGGACTCGATACAGAGGGCGCGTGATCTACAGTATCCGTGATAAGGTCTTGAGGAGATGCAACCAAATTCATTTCCTGGTTTAGGGATGATTGCGCTCAGTATGTTGGGCAACAGTCGGCAACAGATTTCGATAAGACACACCATTAACCCTTCGTTTATGATCCCCTCAACAATATGGTTCAATAAAGATTGGGCGGCATCACGTCTTGCCTTGTATTCGGTGAGCCTCTCTTCCTCTGTCATCACGGCGACAGCAGGAAATCCACCAGAAACGAGATGGAATATGTTTGAGATCTCAAATGCCCACTTAGACCATCTGAATTTCTCATCGTCCGTAAGTATCATGAAGAAGGCGCCAAGGAGGGCGCAAAGGTTGCCGCAGAAGTAAAGGTGCCTCCTGAATAGGCGAATTTGTATAACTGAGAAGAATGTAAAGCCGTCAAACCTCCTAGAAAGGACTTCGATGAGTCGATCTAGCTCTCCTGGAAGGTCGTCCTCTGGCATCCGCACCCGGTCGTCGAAGAATGTAGAAATCGTGGCAGATGCATGAGAAGGCTACCATTTGACATCACATCTCTGCATTAGAAAGTGAGTGATGCACTTACTATGCGAGCGGGAATCAGTCGTCGAAAGTAGACGGGAAGTATAGTAGCCCCTGGGATAGATTGTGCGTCGCTCATTGATTCAAGGGTACTTGAGTTTTGGGGTATCATGAATCCTGAGCTTTGGTAGGGTTTTATATTCCTGCGTGCGTCTTCGACATGCGAACTGATTAGTAATCACATCTACGAAGAGTTGAAATGATACTAACCGTAAATATAACAATTTCTTCTTTGGAAAACGTGAAGTCCATGAGGACCGAAGAGAACCAGGCCCTCAAAGGAACGAGGCATGCAGGTAGTGGGGTATCGTCCTGGATCTTCACCATGAGGTTCGCGGTTGATGAGTAGCACATAGCCATAGTCCCTTGATCCAAGAATTTACATCCATATTGACTTCTGTCATCCAGGGCCAAGTCTCCGTTATTATCACATCTTACCGGCGGGGAAAGTAATGGGTCGGTAACAGGCCAGCTCGTGTGGAGCTTTTCTTGACGAACAATAGTCGAGCTATTCATTCTTCTCCGTATCAGGTAAGAGAAAGATAAATAGAAATGTCACATGTCCTATCATGATCCTTTATGGACGGGCATTCGAGATCACCACGGGTGGATGCATGAGACCTGATGGTACTGGGCGATTTGATTGCTCTGAGTGATCGAAAATTAAATCAAAAACCATACTCTCATGTGATATACCACTCACAAATGTTACGGCAGTATCGAGCGTCAAACTTGCGGAGATCGCGTAAAGGGGGCCAGCCACACTAAAAAAATACATTTTCAAGGGATCAGTAGAGAAATTTGCATGACTTACGATCACTTGGGTCATACAAGTCTTCATTATGACAGCCTCATGGCCTATCATGGATTGTCCAGTTTTGCCTGTCCACATCCGTCCCTGCAACCTCATGGTGTTCTACTCAACAAACCCGGTCCATGCGTGTTGACGAACTTGAGGTAGAGATTCATTGTTTATAAATATTTCGCTTGTTGCTGGGTTGGAACTCGTGTCTTCATCTAACCTCATTATACATCTTGTTCACTTTCGTCGCCCATGCCAGTGCCCAGCTGTATCCGTTCGATAATTCCAGTTAAAACCGTAAGCTTGACCATAACCTCAGAGAGGGAATTACTTACCTGTTTGGCAGCCGGAATTTGCTCCGGAATTTGTGTCCAGCTACCTAGGGCATCTCCTCTACACCGTGGTGGAGAGGACAGACAATTTTGAGTCACCATCAGATCCATCTCAAGAAGAAATCGAACTTCCAAAGAACCCGTTCGAATTATTTTGTATATTCCAAGCTCCTGCTGCTAATTATGCAAACCATCGATTTGACGAACATGATATGTCCCGAATCTATCACGATATGTGGTCGGTATTATACCCGAAAGAGGCGGCAGATTGGAAGGAGACATTTGACGCAATAGGACGGGCTGCCAATGAACTTCGCAAAAAGTTGGCGACACCCCTAATGGGTTCGACAAGGACGCATAGTCTAAAGTGCAAGTTAGCAGTAGATCATATACAGGAGGAGCATCGTAAATCGAAAAGAACCTTTGGGGGCCTTTGGGTAGATCGTCGAGATGGTGGGATGTAGAGTTGAGAGGGTACGTATGATTTCAACTCATCGAAGCATATTTATTGACTACTTAGGACTGACGTAGGACTTTTAGCCAAGATTCGAACTGAGAAAAAGGACATCTTACTCAACACTGACCAGTCGTTTGCGTCAATCCCAAACCTATGTGCTCACCCAGGATTCGATATTGCGCACGCGGACATTTTCTTTATGTATATATATAGATATAGATGTCTAGTGCAATTAGAGTTGATCTTGTTTCATCAAGTTAGCGGAGTGAGGTCCAAGTGGTAGTGTGCCTTCTTGAACCTTACAGTGCCGAACGCCTTTGCTTTAAGAGACGCACCCACCTCAGTCACTAATCTACTCCTCAATTATACGCTACACTCTTTTCTATCATTGGCATCCGACTTTATGCTGTTCTCGTATGGCGCGTCATTGCGCCCATCTTCTCGCGACCTCCTGTTGACAGTACGGGTGATAGTCAATGTCAAGGCTTAGCTACCGATGTTCTATCCACGTAAGTCCGCACCTTCCAATGAAGGCACCATATGCTAACTGGACTAGTGCCGTTTTCTATATAGCCTTGGATCGGACGATTGTCCTGGCCATGTTTGCCAAGCTCGTCATTTGCACCAACACGCTCTACTGCTTTACCTGGATCGTTTCCATCTAATTTTGATACGATCCAGTCCTGTGCTGACATTCGGACGATTTGCCCCTCCAAACAGAACTATCCCGAGCACATCATCTTTTCCGGAATTAGGTCGTTAGCTTGCAGCATCACACTTCCCGTGAACGTGCTCATCTTCAACCGTCCCTTCCGTAATATCGGTTCATTAGAATTTATATGCGAGATATGAGTCCTCCTTTGTCCGACCCAGCGAGGTGGTGGCTGGTTGTTCCCTCGATTTCGAAGAACGGTTGCTCGGCGTGGCCGTTTGTCTAGGGGTCCAAATCCTCGCCTGATTAAGCGTCCTGGAAATGCCTCTTTACCAGTTGGTCCAACCTGGGGCCAACCTTGTACTCTGGCTTGGACCCCCGCCTGCCGCTCAACCACCCTTGAAAGAGTACCTAGTTAGGCCATTATCGGAGATCGTGGAAGACAATAGTCCCAATCTTGGTCTCCTCGAACTCATTCAGGAGCAAAGGAGGAACAAGCGTGGCGGGCGATGGTAAATTTACTCCTGGTCAACAAGATCTTGTGGAGGAGATATTGTTTGTTGAACCTCATTATGTTGCTATTATGTGCTCACCTATACTCTAGGAGCTGCCACCACACCCCGACTTTGCGCCAATCGAGTTTTTGGTACTTGAAAACCCCGGGGCTCAAACTTGTTATAGTAAGCGTTCGAAGGGCCTTAAGTGAGACATGGC